GCTGAGCTAAATCCCCAGCCCCTGGTATGATGTTTTTAATCCTTTCAGGAAGATACCAAGAAGGAGAATAGCTACCTATTCTCTAGAATAGGAAGATACCAAGAAGGAGGTCGTGTGGAACCTCTAGTCCTAGACTTTTGAGGAATCTCCACACTGTCAGTCTCATTCTTGCATCTCTTAATTATTGCATTTTTCAGTTCTGTTATTTGTTTGGTTCATTATTGAGGTTCTCAGCTTGGCATGGTGGCACATGCCTGTAGTCCCAGCACGTGGGAGGCTGAGGCAGGAGGATTGCTGCATGTTTGAGGCTAATCTTCCCTACATAGTGAGTTCAAGACCAGCCTGAATTACATAATGAGACCTTTTCTCAAGAGAGAAAAGTCCTCAATTCTCTGCCAAAATGCTCCAGTGTTTCATTGTCCTTTACTCAGTCACTTTAAAATCTGTTTCTGATAGTTCTCCTATTTGGCACTCCTTTGGGGGTCTCTTCTAATGTCAGTTTCTACCAAAAGTGTTTTGATCATTTGCTGTTCCCTTGCACGTCTGCTTACTTTCTGTGAGCACTGGAAATTGGACGTGAAAAATGGAGCTAGTTTGAGGCTCCAAGTGATTGTTCTCGGAACTTAAAATATCTACATAGGATTTTTGTAAGTTGTATTGTAAGAGTAAATAGGCATGGCAGAAGTTCTGAACTGGTTAAAACTGGCCGAATCATCTAGGTCTGTTAGAGAAGGAATTGAGGGAAATTAAAAAAAAATTGTGAGTATCTCCAAAAGTAGAGAGGGAGACAACTAACAGGGCAGGCAGTCGGCATCAGAAAAGAAGAGTTTAGCCCTCAAGGATAAAGCTAAAGATAATCAAAAGGAGCAGATGCTCTGGAAATTCATTGGTGTGGGGGTCTTTGAGTTCAGATGCGGCATAAGTGACCCAGGGTGGACGAGCTGCGCTAGTCTTACTGCACCGTGTGGGAGGAGGTTCATTTTGAAGGAAGTAACCTTTAGTAAGTAGTGAAGAGCACCAAGGGGATTTCAGGGCACACTGTGCTTTGCAACTCTTTTGTTTTTCCTATTTCCTTTCAGATTATTTTTAGCCTCAGTCTAAAAATGTTCAGCATAGTTAAGGAGTGGGGTGAGAAACAGAAGCCACCATGCTTCTGCCCCAGGCTCCACACACCCTGCAAGGGTTATAGTTTGTAAACAAGCGCAGCTCTCAAGTCCAGGGTGCTTTCTTGAACTCTGCAGCATGCTCCTCTCTGCAGAGCCTGCCTGGCAGATTTTTCGGTAAAGATTTAATGGAATGTGTGGAATATTAACCATCTTTAAAAAATGGATACAAATATAGAATGGTTAATAACCACATGGCTGGCAGAGAATTGAATAATTTATAGTTGCACCAAAGGAAAACATTTAAAATCAATAACTTACTGCATATACATTTAATTCATATAACTTAATTGAGTTAAGTAAAATTTCTGTGTGAACTGGAGCATATCAGTATCAGAAGTTATATTTTTTGGCTTCAGGGTTTATTCATACATTTTTATTATCTTTGAGAACATGATTTCTTTTTTAAAAAGAAATCAAATATTATAAAAATAAGTCAATAGTCATATATAAATTTAATCTCTTGGTTTCTATTTAGACTACAATAAAATTTAAACATTGTAGATGGAATATTATGTATCATTTGATCTATAACAAAATTAAAACAACTCAGTACGAAAGGAATATTGTAATTCATAGGGAAAATATACTAAAACTTTAAAACTAAAGTATAAAATTGTTTCTGTCTCTAGGCAAAATTTGGCTTCTCTGATATTACTGGAATTGATTATTCTCCTTCTGCAATTCAGCTTTCTGGACGTATTATAGAGAAAGAAGGGTTATCTAACATTAAATTGAAGGTAACTACTATTTAAATTACTATAATATTTTTATTTGTAATAGAAGTTATAAAGTTTAAATGTTTCTAAAATACATTAATCTGTTGACATCTTAAAATTTATAAATTAATGATCAGTCATAAATAATGCAAATTGATTTGTTTTGTTTTGTTTTGTTTTGAGACAGTTTCACTATGGAGTTCAGGCTGGCCTTGTACTCATTATGTAGCCCAGGCTGGCCTCGAACTCACAGCAATCCTCCTGCCCCAGCGTCCCAAGTGCTAGGATTATAAAATAATGCAAATTGAAACATTTGAAAGTAATTGCATTAAAAATTTAGTCAGTTTAGGGAAATTACTCTTCTTATATACATGTATGTTTATACACTGTTGCCCTCAATGTTTGTAAAAACATAAAAATAATACCTAACTATGGGTTAACCAGATCAAAAAGTTTTATTTATATATGTATGTATGTATGTATTTATGTATGTATGTATGTACATATGTATTTGAGACAGGGTCTCACTATGTAGTTGAGGCTGGTTTTGAACTCACTATGTAGCCCAGGCTAGCTTTGAACTCACAGCCATCCTCCTGCCTCAGC